TCAGGCATATGAATGCAAGGGTGGGTTTTGCCTTAAAATAATGTGAATGACAAGAAAAGAACAGAAAACTACTTGGCCAGGTATTTGTAATACTCTTTTGAGACAGTTCAACAAGTACATTAAAGATTTTAGGCCTAGATCCCAAATTAATTGAAGGGTGTTTTATTAAGCTGACTTCCATTAAACAACCATGAAATGTTTCTGTTTGTTTCCACTAAAAGACTAAAGAATTGTGATCAGCTGACAAACACAAATGTGTGTTATATTGTCACAAATACAGATACAGTCTTTAGCATACAGTGTGCTTTGAGTTGTCATATCACGTTCAACACAGCATGTTCCCTGAATAATGACTACAAATGAAATACATTAACCGCAGCCAAAGGGAACTTTAGTCATCCCCATCATTTCCTTCTGCGTCATCTGCTACTTATATTAGATTATAGCTGACACACCATTTAGATTCAAAGGCTGCATTAGAACATATTCTTTCACATCAGTTAATAGTATTTGTTTGTCTTACTTAGATTTTTGTATTGCAGTGATAAACCATCTCACTTGATTATATTAGGAGATTGTTATCATATTATGTCAATAGCTGAACTGCAAAGCAGTCAAGTCCTCAAGCCTAAAACACAATATACATTACTTGTACAAAAACAACTTGGTTTACAAACAAAAACTACTAGGTTCAAGTTTGAAAAAGATTGTGGTTTAGGTTAAGATACCTTTATTGTCAAGGTTACATGGTTTTTTCCAGATCACTGACAGCGTAGAGTGATAACTACCTGGAAATATTTACAGTTCCACTACAGAGGAAATAATTGCAGCACTATCAAATGATGCTGTGTGAGGATCTCCCAAACCTTATGTTTTTGTCAACACTGAAAAATCATTTCCCCAAGCACCCCATTATAAAGCCATAACATGGCATTATACAGTATACTGGCAATGGCATGCTGATTCAGTGGTTAGTCCGCTCCAAGCTCAGCAAGGAGCCATCAAAGCTGCACAATAAAGCCCCTATCACATCCCCCCTAATTACCTTTGGCTGGAGTGGAATGCAAACTGATTATGCAGTCACCATGTTTAAAATGCTCTGGAAAGGAGAAGGCCATGGAATGAGCAAGCACTTTTGTTTTCCATAAAAAAAGAATAGAGGCCATGGCTGGTGATTATGTACAGTGTGTGGCCTGATTTTATGGATGCTTATTATGAAACTTAAGTTCAAAGAAAGTTAAACTGGAAGTATAGAAGTGCCACAGTAGTGAATCCTAAAACCCAAAACTGAGTTTCACTTCCGGTTCCCTCAGCCTGAAGTCAGCGGGTTTTCTGAATAGGTTTTTGGTTAGACACCTGAAATAAGGTCTGTGGTTAACACAGGGCTAATGCATTTTCACATTTTGTTCCACAACATAAAATACACCAGTAAATATTTCATTTACTGTACACCGGTACACCGGGGGAAACCGCACTGCTGCTTTGGGGAAGGTAAGAGATGGCAGTGTGTGTGTTCATTAATAACTCATGGTGTGGAGATGAACGGACTGTTTATAAGCACTGTTCGCCAGACGTACAGTTTTTATTGCTGAAATGCCGGCCCTACTATCGAGCCAGAGAGCATAGTGCTGTGTTTCTGGCTGCTGTGTATGTTAGCCCAAGAGCTAATCCCTCTGCGGCTCTCAGTAAACTCTATGATGTCATCAACACGCAACGCATCCCGATGCTGTTTTTATCGCTGCAGGCGACTTTAACCAGTGCCATTTACGGACTGTACTCCCCAAATATTACCAACATGTGAACATTCCCACCTGGGACAAGAACACACTGGATCATGTTTACAGTAACATACAGTACTGCTGCATACAGGGCCGCACCCTGCCCCCACCTTGGATGCTCTGACCACATTTCTTTGTTCCTGTATCCAGCTTACAGACAAAGACTGAAACAAACAAACCCTGTCACCAAACAAATTAAACTCTGGACCCCAGAGACTGAAGGCACCCTGCAGGACTGTTTC